GGTTGTGCATTCCGTGTGTGTTTTGCAGTTTTCGCTCGAGCGTCGTGCAGCGTGATAGGTCCACCGAGGTCGGATACACCGATCCATGTAGCAATTGCAACCCAGTTCGTCCGCCACGATTACTTGGTTGGTCTGCCCAACGCCCGTCATCTTACTCACCCTCACCGCATCTGTGGTCTCGTGGCCTCTCCCGTTCTCTGTGCCTTGTTTTTGTTTTGATTTCTGTGTGGCATCGCAATTTCCGCAGGAGGACTGACCGTATTAGGCGGGGGTTTCCTGACCGTGCTGTCGGTGTTGGGAAGCAGGTGAGAGCGAGCATAAGCACCTAGTCTTCTACATTTTGCCCCCGCCCCGCGGGGTGGGTCGAGTCAAACACGATGTTTGATGCATCTGTGCACCATTGCCTTTTGATTTCGACGGCGTTTGTCGTGGAAGGTGGGTGTGCCGCTGCTTCGACCAGCGATGCTTGTGGCCTCACGCGATGTAACTTGGCGTGTCATACGTCGTGTATTGAAACGGGCCACTTTCGATTCGCGTGAAAGTTCGATGCTGCTGCGGTGGGGTTGGAGTAAGCTGGGAATACATCCGATGAATCGCAGTTTGTCTATTTGTGCGGCCTCCCCCCGTCCCCCTACCGAAACTATTCATCCTTGCGCCTCCTCCCGCCCTCGACTTCCTTGAACTCGGGAACCAAATTAATGTCGGTCGACAATTACGTCGGCATTCTCGCCAAGCGTCGCCCGCTTGGAGCCGCGTGTCCACGCCGTAGGAACCCAGCTACAGTATTCGAATTAGAATACCCCTCACCCTTGTACCAGTTGAGCACAGATGGGTCTCCTGTTCCCTGATCCTCGTCGCCCTTGCTTGTCGCTGCTCACGGGTACCTATCCTCTGGGCGGGAACTCTCAGCATCGCCCACGTCAACCCGACCTTCGTGTTCGATGAGCTCGTCGTGACGCACTACTGCGGCAGCGCTGGCGGCCTGACCGGGCTGGTCGTAACGGCCCTCACCCAGCAGGCGGTGGCGCAGGGGTACAAGGTGGTCGGGTCCATGGAGCTGCTGGGCGACCCGCTATCGCTCGTCGGCAAGGTGGGGTGGGCGTTTTCTGTTGTCGTCGTTAACGTCGGTGTTGAATGTTGTTGTTGACGTATACAACTGTTGTTTGCTGCTTCTCTTGCTCTCGCTACATGTTGCCTTGCTGGTGCTGTCGACGCTGTCGTTTTTCGGTCGGTCGGTCGGTGCCGCTGTCGACTGCTCTGCGCCGGAGATTTTTCGTGTGTCTAGTTGCGGTGGGTGGTGGTGTGCTGGCTTGCTTTGATGCCACTGGTTCAGTTTGATGCCATTGGTGTGCCGTGACGAGCATATGTCTTTGTTGTTTGAGTCGTAGTTTACGGGAGCGAAGCTTCAGTAAGCACACGTGCGTGCAGTGATTTATCCCCTGCCACGGTCGGCAAGGTGTGGGTGGGTTACGTCTACGTTGCAACTACTGCTGGTGGTGGTGGTCGCGCACTCACGCACGCTTCCGCGCCCAAAACGGCAAGATAACACGGTAAGTTGGTGGGGGGGGAGAGGACCAGAGCGCGGCATCCTCACTTTCTCACAGATAGTTGGAAACGATGGTTCCAATGGCTTCGCAACGAAGCGTCAGCCTGCATGGTTACGTTGTACGCGCTCTGCTGTAAGTTTTTTCTTGTTGCAAGCTTACGCTTCACTCAACCCCCGCACTGCCGCCGCCGCCGCCGCGCGTGGGCAAGAACAGTATCTTGGCTCCGTCGCGGCGTCACGAAGGTGACCGTTGTGGTGGAAAGTGATTAAAACATTTGCGTGATTACTGCTGTGCATGTCTCGCTACCCCTGAACCCCCGCCTCCCCCCCTACCTCTGTCTCCCTTGCGGGGTTGTATTTTCAATGTGAAGCTTGGAGACAGCGTGGTCCAGTTCTTCACCAAGACCAAGGCGGAGATGACCGGCGATGCCGATACCGTAGGCGCGGGCGCGAAGGTTCTGGTGAAGGGGCTTGTAGGCGGCACGTTTGGCAGCGCCGCGAAGATCACGGGTGGGTCGGCCGGCCTTCGAGCCTTGTATTGATCGCGTTTGTTTTCGGTGACAAGAAAGAGTTATCCAGAGTCTCTACTTCGGTAGGAGCGTTGGCGGGGCGCTGCCTCGATTAATAATTATCGCGTGTTCGTGGTCGTGTGGATTCGTTTTTTGTTGTGACCGCGATCTCCGCCTTGTCGATGGCAAACGATTTTTATTCTCAAAAGAACAAGACGGAGAACGCACGTATATATACAAATGGGCATATACACGTTTGGTTATATTTAGCCTCGTACCCTCTTTACGCCGCACACCTCCGGTGTATACTTATGTCTTCTTGAGAGCTAAACAGAGTAGAGCAGCCGGACAAGAGTCGGCTCAAGAAGCACTCCGTATGCAAGGGCTCGTGTACGCAATGCGGATTGTGCGTCTCACTTCCTCTCCCCCTTTCTCTTCACACATGCAACCACGTCCCGATCACATCTGCGGTGTCACCTGGTGGTGCTTAGAAACCACGCGTACCAGCTATTCCCGCCCTGCATCGCAAGTTGTTGGACACGCCAAGCCGATTCGCGCGTGGTTTGTACTTCGACCCGATGCCTGATCGGTGAAAGCCCGGCGTATCCGGCTTTGGACGGGCGAAATGCAAAGTGTTGGACACGCCCTTCCCGAGAGTCGATCGAACGTTCAACCTCTGTATTTTGTTGAATACGCTCTCCGTGATGTCTTGATGGGTTTTAGGTTCATTGGAAGGCATGATCCGTGGTCTCAGCGGCACCGCCATCGCTGAAAACGAGTCGGAGATGGAGCGCGAGGAAGATGGCCAGCTGCAGCGGGAGGTGAAGGGCTTGGAGCACGGAGTGAAGCAAGGCGGAAAGGTATCGGTTTAAATCAAGTCTTCTCGGCCAGTCGGCGGCTCGATCCGGTCCGTCTGCTGCAGGTAGTACAAGTGGCACCCACTGCGTTCGTTAGAAACATACCCATTTGTGTGCGCGGTCTCTCCAGTAAAATGTGTGCTTGTCCCGAACAAGACCATTACCCCTCTGTTTGATGCTCGATTATGGTTCTTATCGTGACACAAGGCACCTGTTACTCGTAGATTTGAGCAAGAGGTCGTCTCGCAAGTAACGCGGACCTTCTGTGTCCTGGAGGTTTTGACAAATACTACCCCAGCTTTGTGGAACACCCTCGAAAGGGATGCAATCGTGGTGCAGTTCAAGGCGCATCCGCTACATGTCGGCTATAGTTTTCGATGGCCTTGTTTGGAGTGCATCCAAAGAGAAATTGAAGTAGACGAAGGATATAAACACGAGCAATCGTTGGTCTTGTGGGAGAGTTACGCTAGACTTCTGACTAGCGTGACAGATGGTTGCAAAATGTTCGTCAAGTTCATATCGCGGGAGACGCGCCTCACAAGATGTGAAGATCCTCCAGGCTGAGACGGCCCAATTATTTAGCGTTTCTCGCTGTAAAGGGTCCCTTTGCTGCTATGCTGTTTAGAAATCGTGTGTTAAGGTGGTGTTATGATGTTCACAGGGCCGTTTGTGTTGTCACTGGATTTGGTGAGACGACTTGGCCTCTGAAGGGAGAGAAGTGTTTGTATGGAGGCGCTGCTTGATGCCACTCCACGAAAGCAGAGAGAGAGAGGGCCAAGTAACACGGCGGGAGGGTTAGGGCATGTTGCAGGGTATTCCGGCGGCCCCGCGGGCTCTTTTCTTGTGCAGCTGGCCTAGAGGCCGGCGTCACTTGTCTTGCAGCACACGGCAATTGTGCGCCGAGTAGTGGCTCCGTGTCTCAACCATTGGACATTATTTTTTCTTTCCCGACCCCCGCCGGAGCACACGCGCCGTCGGAACCCTGCGTGGCAAAATCTCTTCTCCAAGATCCCCCTCCCCCATATATTAGACACCCTTCGGTGCCGGCCTCCAGTAACGGTCCCTCCCCCATCCCCTCCCCTCTGATCCCTACTCGGTGATGGAAAGGTTTTCTACGAGACCATGAAGGCGGGAATCACCGGCTTAATAGACCGGCCGGCCGAGGGCGCAAAAGAAGAGGGCTTGGCCGGCTTCATCGCCGGCATGGCCAAGGGAATCGTGGGCGCGGTAGCCGCGCCGGTGGCCGGGGCGCTAGGGGCAGTCTCCCGAGTCACCGAGGGCGTCGATGCATCCACGAGGTACAGAGGACCTGGGGCGTTGTGGGGGTGCTTGACAGTGTTACCTCTCTGTATCGGATATCCTTGGGAAAATGGCGGTGTTGCGATTGTATGTTGGTGTTTTGGGACGTTGGTTCGTTACTGCCTATACCGTTTCGCCAGCGCCGATTCTCGACCTCGTTTGCTCGAGGTTAGAGAGCATGAAACCTCCTATGGACACCTAGCGTCCTGTCCTAACTATGCACAACCTACCCCCTATCCCATCCACTCTCATGCTTGACGCATGCTGCATCCAATCAGGCTTTCCGACGAGAAGCGAATGGGAAGGCGTCGAGCCGCGAGAACGGCGTTCAGATCGGTGCCCACAGGCAGGGCGCTCCCTCCGCTAACTCCCACCGACCTGGTCAAGAACGTTCCCAGAAAGTTCGCCACGTTGTGGGTGGGCACTGGCCTGGAAGCGACGGGGGTGGCGTTGCCAGTTCCGGAAGGGGAAGAGGCGGAGGAGAGAGATCGGAAACCCGCTGGTGATGTTGGTAGCGGTAGAGGGGGCGAAGACGGGGCGGGAGGTCGGGCTCATCCCTCATGACGAAGAGTTTGCTCTGATTTGCGGGTTGGAAAGCCAGCACACATGCCGACAAGTCCGGTTTGCTGATTGGAAAGCAAATAAGAACGCGGGAAAGAACACTAAAGGGGCAGATGATATAGGATGGGGAGGACGTGCGACGCTTACCCTCGGTACCTAGGGGAAATAGTAGGATGTTCCCGTCGCAGCGGGGTTGGTGGCGGTCAGAGAAAGCTGCCGCGTGGCAGAGTGGGACGTGGCGCGAGATTTGTATCGTACGGCCTGGTACAGTAGGTCTGAACACAAAGAATGTTTCAATGTTTTGTGAGAGGTGTTTCGAGTTTGGAGGAGAGGCGTAACAGTGCGCAACTGTGGAATGTTTGTGGGCGTATGTGAAGTTTTTGAGACACGGGTGACGGGGTTTGGGTGTTCGATGTAAGTTGTGTAGCGAACGCTCGTAACTTCTGGTTGGTATTCTTGAGTCGATATGATATGTCTTTCGCTGGAACCGCTCTCCGACCTGGCGTACGACGTGTTGCAGGTCGCTCATTCTCAGCCGTTGGATCGCGTTTGGTTTAATCCATCGTATGGTTTAGATTCTGCTTGGCACCCCCTTCTGCTTCAGGCGTGAGACCCCACGTGCCATGCATGACCTCCGAGGGCACCATCGTTCCGTCTACCCCACCTGAGCTCCCGAATCGTGTCCCGTCTCCCGGCGACGATGCCGCGGGCAGCATCTGGATGTCTTCGGGGCGCGGCGGTGCCGGGATAGTGGACAGTGCGTGGAAATTTTCCAACGCGTTGTCTTCCTCGGAGTGGATCATTTGATGTACGTTTGGATTTGGTGAGGCCTCCAACCGCGGGCGGAGGTCCTCGTCTGCTCTGGATACTCCCCCGCCGGTGCTGGGCGCTCTCTCCCAGCACCGGGGGGCATGGTATCCCGCATATGATCGCAACAACACCGAGTGTTGAGGGTGGGGTGTGTGGGATGGTCTAAAAATTATCCTGTCTCTCCAAGGTGTTAGTTCTCTCGAGGCTTCGGGGGGCGAACGAGGCAAGTGATCACTTTTCGTACATTCCTCCATGTAAACGTTTACCCGATGTACTATGCATAGACTAGTGTGTTCCATTGTTTGTGTCCAACTTTCGAATATTTCGATAGGGTGGGTGGTAACGGTATTACCGTCATTTTTCGAACTGCTGCAGTTCAGTGCGCCCCTCCTCTCCACAGTCGTCTCGGAGTCAACATTTCACGTGCGAGACGCATTGTTGTTGAAAGGATGGAGAACACGAAAACAACTTTCCTGTCTCAGGCGGGTTTCGGAACCAACCCCAACTGCTGTTCCTGATCTCCTGATCTCCTGATTGATCTGGCAACGCAGCATCCAAGAGGGGACGTGGATTCAAATACTTGACGCGCGCCCCCCGCTCCATTTGTCGGGCGCACAATCCAGTTTGTTGGTCGGTCAAGGCAGTTGTTGTACAGGCAGGATATGGAATAGATATGGTATCCACAGCAGTGTATCAATTCATGCAACAAACAATACGAAGTAAGAGGTGCAGGATTATATGTGGCTGTACTAAATCTTACAATAACAGAGCATCGTATGATATAAGAGGGCCGGTTTTCTTCTTCAGGTTCTTTCGGGAGGGGTCGACAAAAACGCTCCTTAGTAAGAACGCTCCTAAATCCTCTACCATACATGCAATGGTATCACAGCAGTCTAGATGGGCATGGGGCTTTTGGGGAGGGATGGTGTTGCATGGTACCTGGTATGAAATAGTACCCCCTCTTCCTGAGTCTTGGGGTGTGTTTCAAGTTGTATTTGAATCCACGTGCCCTCTAGAGTCTAGAAGTTCGACAGCATCAGTCCAGGGACAGTCCACAGCGCGCGGAAATTTCCAACCAGTTGGAAATTTCACCGGCAGCGGAAGTTGTAGAAATATTATTCCCTGCTCAACCACGCCCGGCGCGGGCCACCCCGCCCTCCTCGCCACCCGCGCAGTTGACAATTGCTTCCCGCCACACTCCAAAGCGTTCTTCCGCTTTGCGTCTGCACTTCCCTCCGCTTCTTCTTCGTTCTCGCTGCGCGCGCATTCCTGCCCGATTTGGTGGTCGCTCGTAGTCCACCCTCGACGCTGCTCGCCGGAAGCCACCGCTGCAGTGAGCATGCCATACATAGATATCTCAAACACACTGACTGAGTCTTGGTTACACTTGGATAGTAACTCTTTAGGACAAACCGATGTTGAACGTAGCAAGGCTAGGTTCTTCACGCGAGCAAGGCTAGGTTGCCCACCCCACATCTACCCTAGCCCTCACCCACGGCCAAAGCACGGCCTAGCGGCCGCGAACTGGACGAAACGCGGCTGCGCCGCGCGCTCGGAATGCGGAACGGGGAGAGGGCGATTCCACTGACTGGTGCCCTTAGGTGGAAATTGCAGCATTTATGCCATCTACGCTTTCATACAGCCTGTGTTCGTACCGCATCGGGTGGCACTGCGCCTGAGACGCCTTCGTTGGGGATATACATGCGTTGGATTTTGCTCGCGAAAAGGGCCTCTTGTTTTTTTTTTTTTTTCTTAATAATAATAATAATCTTTACTATGACACAACGAATCCATCTCTATCATAGAAAAGAGTCAGAGGCAGATTAGCAATGAATTCATAGCGCCAGAAAAAGCTACCTATATGTCTACGATTTCCCAGACAGCATATAGGGACATCTTCCCTGCGGGTAACAGGCTCAACAAAACAGTTTGGTAGCTGTCTTGTGTGTCTCATATATGTTATGTTGGGAAGGTGTAGCAGAAAGGTGTTGGGTACTGTTGGGTCTTGTTCTATGGCGGCGAAATAGAGGCTAGCTTTAACACCGCCGCGCATGTATCTGAGCGTAGATTGCCGCCTGTTCTCCTTCCCACGCAATGCGCCCCTTATATCTCGGGCGCATACGTCGATGCCGCTTGGATCTCATCAACCTGACCGTATGCGCGCTGCTCCATCTTCGCCCATGAAAAACACAGCTACAAGCTGGTCTGACCAAGAAGCTAACTTTCGTTCTTTCATGTCCCACTCTGCTGTTTCAACGAATTTAGACTTCAAATTTGGCGGGTGCTCGCATAAGACCATAGGGGATGCGCAGGTGCCGGAATTTTTCGGATCTGAGTTGATTTTAGGTATATAACTATCAATTGGCGGCATAGTTGGGATACTTCCTGTACTGAACTCAGCATAAAAAAAAGTTTCTCAGATCAAGCTGAAAATTGCTGTGCATGTACCTGGGAACATCGCGAGAGCAAAGATGGTAGTTTCAAGGCTCACGGCATCTTCCATCAGAAGTTATGGCCTATTAAAGAATCCGATACAACACACGAGATACCTGAGGCAACGTAAGGATCTCGCGATTCCCACGCTGTTTTTTCCAATTTGAAGCTGAAATTTCGACACGGCATCCCCATGAGTACAACAAACAAATAAGCCACTGCGCCATTTGACTTCTTTCTTTTTTTCTGCGACTTTTTGGCATAGCAAATATTCCCATGAATACTATAATATCAGCCTAACTTACGAAATAAAAAAAAAATCCAAATAGCGCAGTGGCCTTTGTGTTTATAGTACTCATGCAGATGCCGTGTCAAAATTTCAGGTTCTAACTCGAAAAAACCGCGTGGGAAATCCGCTTCAACCTTCAAATTTGCGTCTTGGTCAGACCAGCTTGTACAGCTGGCTGTGAGCTACGGAAGGTCTACACGGACGGACGAGTTTCAGCGCAACGAGGCTGCTTGCCGACCACGAACGAACACCAAAGACGGTTGGTGCAGTGGTTTCTCTCCACTTCAAAAAGATAGTGGCATTGTTCGGGAGAAGGCGTGGGACAAGTGGCAAGGTCGCCAAGAATCTCAAGAGGTGAGCGCGCTCTGTGGGTCTGACGCGGTATGACTGCCCACGCCACTCTTATTCTTGTGTACATTTCTATTTTTATCCCCTCCACAACTACCCACATGTGGTTCGAAGGCTACTGCTAAGTCTACACACATTAGGATTCAATTTCTGTGATCTTTTCGTCCCATCTACCCCTGGCGCTAACCAGTCTACACCTTGTGGGCTATATGTCTGGTGCACTAGCCTGTGGGTCATACGGGAGGAAGGCGAACACAAACAGTTTTATTTTCTTCCCAGTTTCCATTTTCACGTTTCCTCCAGCTTGCTTGGTCTCCCACACGTTCTACAGTTTTGCTCAATAAACCGCCCATGGGACACCCACTATGTGGTTCCCATGGGCGCCAATGTGTGCCCTTCAACCAGAAACCACGTGGCTAAGTTCTAGGTTGATATGCCGTGGCGAGTTCTAGGTTGAAGTGCCCACGGTGTGCACTTCGAGGGCAGTTCATGGGCACACCCACCCATGGGCCCACCCATGGGCGGCGGTTATGAAGCAAAACTGCCAGCAGTGTGGGAGATTTGAGCTTGCTCCAGACGTTTTTTGTTTTTATCCTCAGTTCGGTCTGTTCACACCTTTCGGCACAATTAATTGTTAAAAGTATCACCCGGGGGCGGCGTCACACAGGAGTCTTTTATCCGTTTTCCTTCTGCCGTGCTTGCCTTAAATTTTTACTTGGAGCGAGAAGGACTCAGTCCATTGTTCTCTATGGTGAAGTCGAATGCTAATTTTGCTCACACGGAACGAAACTTGTGTTCAGTGTGTACGGGAAGATTCAATACTTCGACTTCTTGATGGTCGACGATAGAAATGGACGGCTGAATCCCTCTCGCGGTGATAACGACTAAGGCAAAACAGCGCAGAAAGGAGGTGGAAAAAGCACTATCATCGCTCTCCATACATTAATTAGTGTTTGGGAATATCGTGATAAAATCCAGCCCGTGTGATTGCACCAAGATTCGGACACAAAAAAGCAAAAAAGCTAGGGTCGAACCCATATACACGTACCAATCTGAAGCAGAGCACCGGGGCGACCGGCCCTAGACAATTTTTCTACCAATTCTCAAAGGACGCCCGGTGCTCGCGCCTGTCTGCCATTAGCCTCTACGTTTATTTGACGGGTATGGCATGGGTGGTCCAGGTTTGGCACGCCGTCTGCAGTAGAACGCCTGCATACCGCAGCACCTCGTCCTCCTTGGATGGCGTACCTACTAACCAGCCTGTCGACTCCGGGTTCCACTGATCGGTGGGGCCGAGCTAAGCAACGACCCTGATGTCGAAACATGCATATATGCACGCATCCACGTCGTCCAGACCCATTATGGAGCTCTGTGCTCAACGCATGACACGCAAAAAGGTGTCAAAAACAGCCTCTCGAGGGGCGCCGAGTCGTAGACTTCGTGCAATGTCCTGGCAATAGACACAAGACCCGATCGATGTTCCCGGCGGGGGTGCA